ATCATCATCTTATGGTAAAGCATTTTTTACGCATAGGGAATACTAATTTAGTAAGTCCAAAAAAGTTCTTTTTCATTAGTGGGTGTCTCCGCTGGCACTAGGCAGTTTGACATTAAAGTCACTTCTAGGGTTTTTTTTATTCAAGAAAGTCTTATAATACACATTCCAGGATGACAGTGGATCAAGCATTGTCTGGATAATCCTTTCGCTAGTCGAAACAGAAACGCTTTACTGCCTTTGAAAATGTGGTATACAAACATTTGCAATTTTAAGTGTTTTTGTAATTATACATCGTTTTTAACTATCAAGCTTAATTTAAAGTTTGTATCTGTCTCAAAAGCGCCATGTTTTATTCTTGTACAAGAATATTTTTTTTGCTCGTGAAAATGTAAAACGAATTTTTTCTGAGTTTGGACCCGGATTAAAAACTACTGGACTACTATATGCGGGTTAAAAATTGCATTACGTTTAAGACGAAATTGAACAGAATAAACCTATAAGATTGGAAATATTAGAATTTTGACTGCTTCGGGTTTGCCCAATACACACGAGGTGCTGTAGTACCCAAGTTCCCAAATTTTATCTGAAAACAGCGTTGGTGGTACTTGATATAATTCTAAACTTGATTAATTATTTTGATTTTAGACTCGTTAGAAGAATTAAATTTTGTGTTTTGTCAGTCTTATAACCAAAAACGAGAGAACTTAAACGTTTGACGCTGAGAGAAGCAAAAAAAAAGAGTGCAGACCAGCATCTTTTAAGATGAAGGAGTTTAACTTCATCCGAGATAAGATTTTAAAAGCAAATATACAACGGCTTACCAAAATAAATCAGCTTTCTTAAAACTGGTAAAAATGCTTATTTTTCATAAAAAAAGTACAGAAAACTGCGCACCATCAAGACTTAGACAAGCATTCGATAATCACGAATTATGCGCCACCAGACTGCTTAGTCGTTTGGAAAAGTTCAAAACCGTATTAGACGGAAATCTGTTCGTATTTCATTAGTAGCAGTAACTTCAGAAACAGTTTATCGCTTTTCAGCAGACTGAAAGAGCATATGCAGCCAAGAGGATACAGTGAGAAATGAAGCACTTAGGTTGCACCATAATATACTCCTTCTAAAAATAGGAGGAAACATAATCAAGAAAGGTCAGAGTAAAAAACAAAAAGACAATGATGTAGAAGGGCGTTAAGAATAGTGCGCTACATCTGTGGAGCAGAATTAGTTTTAAGGTTATTTGAGGTACTGAATTTTAAAAGCATAGTGCATCCGGATATGGCAAGATACATTGGGATATACCCCGCTTCTCCCATCAAGATATGCAAAATTCCACCTTTTCCATCATATCCGATTATTATGTTCTTCAAATTCAGTTTCGCCGCTAGAATCTGCCGAGATGCGATTAGGTTACTCTTGCAGTTATGTTAGATCTCTTGCCGTGGCATATCACTATTCCTTCCTTCACCCAGAAAAGAGCAGTCAGATGAATAATCTATCCAAACTTAAACGTGTTTATGTGGCTTTGCGTACAGGTTGTCTCTTTCTGATATCTGTAGACGTTATTTTCGCATCAATTAATACAAAATTTCACGTCAAATCCAATCCAGTTTGCATAAAATGATATCAGCCGTAGTTCCTCATTTATAATTACAATACTTCTGTGAAACGTCACCTACTGACATTGATGAGTAAGAAACGGTAGTAAAGAACAAAATAAGAATATAAACACAATGTTGAAAGTTTGTGTAAACATTTATGAGAGGAGAAGCGTGCGGCTAACTGACATTGAAGATTTAAATACCGTAACAGAAAAAGTTAGGTGTTCAAAGCTGAGCCTTTTTTTTTTTTTTGCACAAAACCAAGCTTACAGGATGGGAAATATGCGGTCGAGCAATAATTAAAGAGGAGAAAATTTAACGTGCTAAAAATGAAGGAATGAAAGCATTCAACTATGAATCAGCTGATGAAACTGGCCTTATGATACGCGTGGCATAATCCAGAAGCGAATGAAAGGACTATTACGACGAAATCAAACCCGGCAAGGTGGATGATTTACTGTACCTAAATTAAAAAGTTTGCACTTAGTTGTATTATGTAGGCGATGCAAAGATAAAAGTTTATGAAAAAACTTTTAGCAAAACTGTCCGAGCTTATAAGGTCCGGTTTGACTGCTCGTATCAAGCTCGTTTTGCGTACCTGACATATGTTTTCTCAGATAACGAAAAGCTATTTTAGAGTTTTCGCATTGGAAAATGATGGAAGGAAATGCGCGAGACTGTTTTAAAGGATAAGAAACTAAAGTAATTTGAGAAGCATGTCTTGGGCATTCGAAATAAATAGGTTGAAACTGAGAATCACATTAACAGTTTCCCACGATTATGTGTTACAAATATTATTTTTGCGAGAAAGATAACCTGGTA